AAAAAAAAAAAAAAAAAAAGTATTTGCTTAAGGGAGGCTGTTAATCAGACAAGGAGAGGAGGAAGAGTCTTGAAGATGGAGAGAACTGCCTCCCTGACCTCTGAAATCTCTGAATCTTTATAGGACTGGCCTGAGCATCACAGATGAATTTGATGACCCCAGGGGCACTTGGAAATAAGTCATTTTATTTCACAGTGCTTAAAGATCACTTTTTTCCTCCTTTAATCTGCAGATTAGGGATGTTGCCATATGCCAAAAGTTGATGGGGAAAAAAAATAAATTGGTTCAAGCCCGGTCTTCCTAGCCACATGAGCCACAGCACGTGTGAGTGTAGGACTGAGCTCAGAGAACCTTCTGGCTTTGCCATCAGTGCACCTCGCCAGGTTGGGTGGGTGGCTTTAAAGTTTTAACTGTGATATAGCTAAGTTATAGGAACAATGTGAGTATAATGAAAATATACTTTAACAGTCTGAATTAAAATAAACACGCACCCTGCCTTTTAAGAAAAAAAAAAAAGCGTATTGTGTTTTTGGCTCCTTGTGAGTCTCAAAGCCACGAGCAAGAGGAGCTGGATTTTGGCTTCTTGATGGCGGCTCCTAAACCTTTGAGGCCTTTCTTCTCAATAAATAAATTTGTCCTTATTTGTAACCTCTGCAGAAATGAATGGAAGGGTCGTTTAGTTAAACCCTTTCTTCCCACCCTTTGATGTCTAGCCAGAAAATAAGACTGTCACCATCAGCCACTCTATTCAAAGGAAGCGAAAGCCCGTGAACCCAGCTCAGGGTCTGGTTTTCTTAGGAAATGTCATTCTCTGGAGGCAGAATTGGTGCCGCATTTGAACGATGCTCATATTCCTGTCCCCAAGGGAGGGTGGTGGTCACAACCAAACAGCCTTCCCACGCGGCCTCGCTCTCCTGCCGGTGGTGACCAGGCTGTTCCATTTTGTCCCCTCAGGCTCCCAGATTCAGCACCTGACCCAGGTGGGAATTGCCAGCAGAATCGGAGCTCAGCCAGTGGAGATGCCACCAAGCAGAGGCGGCCAGTACGGGGGACCGGGCTGGCCTTCGTACGGAGAGGACGAGGCGGGCCGCAGAGAGCCCGTGAGTATCTGGTGCGGGGTCACCGCTGAGAAGTCAGGCGTAATCACTGAATTCAGCTGCTTCTGCTCTGGGGATAAAAACCTGCACGAGCCAAAACTTCTAACCTCGCTCAGTTTTCCCCCGTTGAGTGTATTTTTGCTTGCAGTTTTTAGATGATAGGTTCCCTCTGACCCAGAGTGGGAGAGTATTTGCATTGCACTTTTGGAAAGTATATAATTTTTCTTGAAGCAGATTTTAGGCTTGACGTCTTAAAAAAAAATAACATTTTAAAAATTAATAAAGTCAGTGTTTATTACAGAAAATCTGGACAGAGACCTAAGTAAACAGTTTTTCAAAATTTTTTTCCATTTTTCTATTGTGGTAAAATACATATAACATAGTTTACCATCTTAACCATTTTAAGTTAGTTATTGGATTTTAATACATCCCTACTGGTTTACAGCCGTCACCACCATCCATTTCCATCTCTTTTCATCTTGTAAAACTGAAACTATCCTCATTAAACCCTAACTTCCCATTTGTCTCTCTCCCCAGCTCTAGGCAGCCACCGTTCTCCTTTCTGTGCCTGTGATTTTGACTTTTAAGTAGTGAATGTGAACCTGTAGGTGACTGAAATCTGGACCTGGTCTTTGGTGCGATGGCTGTATAAATGTGCCTGACCTTACGCCCTCCTGGCTCACTGCTGTGCTTTCTTGTGGGTTTATTAATATCGTGTCCGTTACGAGCACTGCGAATAGATGCTTTTGCCATGAGCGCACAGTTTGGGGCCTTTCAAGGCACAGGGTTTAGTTTGGAGGTTTCTCGTCACTCTGGTCCCTCCTTTATAAGCACAGAATCAGTACAGACACAGGTAATTTCTACAAGTGCTTTCCTTTGCTTTTTCTCAAGAATTTTATATCCACAGGGAATAAATACATGAATTTGAAAATACAAACCAAAATAATACCTTTCATTGGTCCTCATCCTCATTGCATTTACGTGTTTTTTAACAAATACGCTAAATTCCTTTAATGACTGGATGCTTTTACTTAATGAAGGGAAATTAACAGTAGACTATAACTTTTTCCTAAAAGATGCATTATTATAGATCTCGGGCGTTGGCCTTCTATTTACTGACATCTTTCCTTTCCTGCCTTCATTGTGCCAACTTGGTTTCATCAGGTATTTGGATTTTCCTGTAAAATCCAATGGTCACGTCAGCGTTCCTCCCTATCCCATTTGGAGAAGTGAAATGTGCTAGAGCTCGAATGCCACGTTCACCAGGCTAGTAGCTTACTCTTAGCATAGGTGGAACCGCAGATTTAGAACTCACGTATATGCAAAGAGAGATTTTTCCGTGAAAAAAAATATGAAAAAAGATCATTGAAAAGTATAATAATTCTTGCCAAACACCCTGTTCTAGAGGGTGGGGCACAGGTGGGTTTACAGTTGTGAGTGCATGAAACACAGAGCTTATTCTTGTGTTATTATTTATTAATTATTATAGTATTTTCCAGATGAGCAACTGTAAACCTACTTTTGCCCCACCCTATATAATGGACATATAAGCAAAACTGTGAAAGGTTTCAGTGCGGATAACTTTTTAAAGAAAGGGCTCTACAGAGCGCTCAGTAGACAGACAGATAAAATGGACAGTGATTTTGGATCTCGCTCCCTTTCCGTGGTCTTTGTCAGTCCCTCTGCCAGAACCTGCTTATCCCTTCCAGCTCTCAGGTACCCTCCTCTGACCTTCCTCCTCCACGGGGTGCTCCAGCCTCCCCTCCTCCCAGCTCTCGGGGTCCCTTCCTGTCCTCCCAGCGGCCACTCACCTCCACGCAAACAGACACACAGACGTGGCTGACCCGAGTACCCTTTCTTTCATTCTGTATTTCTGAGGCCCCTGTTAAGGTCAAGTGCAAGGGCTTCTTGATTGCACTGCTGTCCCCTGGCTGATTTCGCCACGGTTACTACCCTCCTTTCCAGCCCGAGGTTTTCCTACGGGAGGGCTGAGTTTTTGGGTTTGAACCTGACTTTTCCCTCCTGTTCTCATGTGGCAAGTACAGGGCCCTCTGCCGTGTTTTTCAGACACACGTGCTGGGACATCAGGAGTATTCTTCACCGCTGTTCCAGGTGCCAAGGACTTCAGGCAGGGAGCCCTCCGCTCCCCCCGGGAACGCCCCGCACAGGGGGCTGCAGGGCGCGGGGCTGGCCTACGCCACCAGCTCCACGGAGGACCTCCAGCCCGGCCACTCGTCCGCGTCCCTCATCAAGGCCATCCGCGAGGAGCTCCTGCGGCTGTCCCAAAAACAGACCTCCGCGCACAACTTCCACAGCTGATGGGCCTCGCCTTGCATTTGCCAAGTATCCGCTTCCCGTGGAAGCAAGACTCAGAGGGGACCAGCCGAGGGGGTGTCAGCAAGAGGACCGGCGCCCCCACGGCTGGGGGCCCCCCGAGCAAGGGAGCAAGTTGCAATTTGAGAAGATGCCAGATGCCATAAGTCACGTGAAGCTCACGATGCTTTTATTAAGCTGGCAACGTGCTGACCACTTGGGTTCCCGTTGAGATTTCTGGACTTTCGGCCAAAAGCCAGCAGCACTTCACGAAAGACAAACCACAAACCTAAGCTAATGGGATTAGAAGTTGGTCTCCTTTTTCAAGGCGAAAGATGCCCACGTAGGGAATGTATAGGGCCGAAGGGCACCCAGCATTTCCACGGGAAGGCGTGTTTGAGGCTGGTTTGTACGGAGAACCTGCTGCTTTGTTTTCCGAGAGAAGAGATTTGAAGACGTTTTGTTAACAGCTTATCTCCCTCTTTTTCTCCATAGGAACTTATTTTACTAGTGATATTAACAACAAGGATACTAAGACTGTTCGGGAATTTAAAAAGCTACTAGTGAGAAACCAAATGATAGATTGTAGAGCCCGAGATTCCACACGAAGCCATCCCCTGCATTTTCCCTTCTACTTCTGGTGCTACTGCTCCGAGGGCCCTTCCCCCTCTGTGTCTGTGAAATGCGACTTTGGCTTTTGCAATGGGAGAATATGTTAAAGGTTTCATTTTGTTCTAGAAAGGAAAAAGAAAACAAAAACACCTCCCAGATGAGGGGAGAAAGCTTAATATTTATTTGTTTATTCAAAATACATATCAAAGTTTAGATTTACATTCTTAGTTGTATTTGCTGGTTTTTAATTGGGCACATGGGACTCTTGAGAGCTTCCCACTTCAGCAGGTACCATCCTCAAGGCCAGTCCTATAGAAAGAGGTTTTCAGGAGGGCCAACCAGTTCCTGCGCTTTGCAGAGGAATTCCTCACAAATTACGTTTGAATGAGAAACGGTGTATAAGCAAAAATTATGTTTAACCATTTCCTAGGGCCACCAAATTGGGATTCACGAATACGTTCCTAGTGGTCGCATTCTCTGTGTGTTCAAGACCTAGAAATGAAACTCAGTTCTTGGCAGCCCCTCTGCTCAATCAGGAAATGTGAAGAGCTTTGGGAACAAGGGGAAGGAGAAGGTCATTCTGAATGTGTGATTTCATTGTGCTTGACTCTGCTCAGTGACTTGAAACCATCTACGTGCTGTGGGCCTGACCGGGGGCATCATCTCCCTCGAGGTTTACTCCTGAGGTCACCACTCCCCCCCCCCC